TCGAAACGCTAGCAATGAGTTTGTGTTTGTTTTTGCTTAATCCTGACTCTGACCAAGTCACATTGACCAAGTAAAAACAGTAGCACGTCTCTTTACGGAAAAGACCCTCCCTAAGCTGCCATAAAGGCATTCTGCTCCCTCAAATAGCTGCGTAACCGCATCCATCCTCGGCCTCGCCAGGAGGACCTGACTTCTCCAGGGTCTGGCTTTCTTCATAGGGGGGCCTCCTCCGCCTCTTTTTGACCATGTGACAGCTCCCCTAGACCTTTGATGTAATTTATACCTTGCCAGGGACCAACTCTTTCCCACCACTGTGAAGGAGAGGGAAAAAACATATATAAATACGTCGGAAATCTATAACGAGGTCTTCTTGGAGGGCAAGACATGGGGAGAGTTAGAAGCGGCGTCAATTGCTCTTTGGGGGTTTTAGTTCAAGCCGAGGTCTGCTTCCAGCAATCAACCATTAAAACAAGCCGGCCAGAGTAACAGCACAGTTTATTCTGATCATTTAATTTGAAGTGTCAATAAATTAAACTTCAATCAATTAAACTAGGTGTGCAATAACCCAGATGGACACCCCGACACCAACATAATCACAATAAAAATTTTTATGGCTGCCAGGGACCTCACCGGGGGCAGCGCTGGCACTGCTCGCGCCCTAGCTGAGAAATATATCTCCACAGTGCAGGAACAAGATTGCTTCTCCTAACGAAATGGAGGGGCCAGGCTGGGCCAGGCTCCGGCCAGGACGCAGCTGGGAGAGGGGCACAAGGGACTGCCAGGAAGGAGATGGGAGTGCTTTGGGGGCTTAATGTAATTGATACCTTTTGCCGAGAGCAGGGGGAGGGGGCATTTAGGCCAAGTACCTTCACTGTTAGTGCCAAAGGAATTTAACAAAAGCCCCATTAAGATGATTCAGGAAGCAAAGGCCATGGCGCAGCATCAACCTTTAAGAGCCGTTGATGTATTCCGTATCGGTCCCTTCTCCGTACATACACATACCCTGTGTACTCTGGATGGCCTGGTTCCGGGGGGGGCTGCACATTTGGGGAATGGTCACTGTGACGTGGCACAACTATTATTAGGAAGAGAGGAGAGAATTGAAAGTCAAGCAGGTGAAAACCCTGGGCAAGCACGCAGACCGGGACTGCAGAGCGGGCCCTTGCTGTTGCTGTGTGCTGCAGTCGGAGGGGAAGGGCACGCTGGATGAGACACAGCGTGCACAGGGGGATTCTCACTCACAGTATGTTGAGGAACTGCACTTAGTTTGGTAGAGGGGCCCACTGTGAGAGTACAACTGCCCCAACGCTGTAAACCTTACAGGAGTAGATCACCACGGTTTGGGGGTTTTTTTCTCCCCCAGACTACAGCTGGTGAGCTTGAACTATGGACCTTTGGGTTATCTGTGGAGCATTTAACCATTGTACCACCGGGGCTCCTTATTCAGATCCATAGGGAAAAATAAAACCTACGAGGAAAGATTTAAGGATCCAGATTGCCGGTCTGATTCAGGCTTGAGGAAACCAGGTAAAGGAGGAAGGAGACACGTCACTCATCTTGAAGATTCCAGGGTTATTAATAGAGAACAGTGACCTCCTGAGATCCTTCTCCATTCACAGCTGAAAAAGGAAAAGCCAGCAGAAACAGCACGAGAGAGGAAGCTGATGCCCAAAATGAGGCTGAAAGCACTATTATTAAACACAGAGCTAAGGGAGATAAAACGTCTTTGAAGGCCTGAGAAAGATTAGATAAGTCAGTCTGTAAACTAGGCCTGGAATATAGAACTCAAGAAAGAAATGGGACCCCCTTCTAATGCACTCAAATGCAAGAAATGATTTCGTGTTTTGAAATGTCCACAGTGAGAGTAAATTATGATCAATAATTCCGTGTGCCTTGAAGTGAGGAGAGTCACCACATCAGGAAAGACGATGTGAAATGAGGCTTCCCAGCGGAATTTGGTCAGGAATCTGCCACTCCACGGAGTGCTCTGTTAAAGACCACTCTCAGTAGAGATTAAAGTAAGATCCGGAGATTCCTCATGCTTTTCAAAATCAAGATGACCGGGAACCCAAGAGGAAAGCGAATTTTGGGAATAATGAGGGCAACAAATGTACAGATGTGCTTTACACAATTGATCTATGTATTGTGATGAATTGTATGAGCCCCAATAAACTGATTTAAAAAAAAACAATCAAGATGACCCCCAACGAATCAGATGGCACCGAGTTGAGAGAGGAGGGAGGGGGCGAGATCAAGGGAGCAGTGGAAGAAGGACGGTTTGTAATCAAATGGAACTAAATTTGGTGGGACAGCAACATGAGGGTAGAGGAGAGCTACACATTGAGGAAATATCACCTGACTCTCGGGAGCCCTGGTGGCTAGTGGTTACGAATTGAGCTGCCATCCGCAAGGTCAGCAGTTAGAAACCGCCGGCCGCTCCTGGAGAGAAAGACAGGACTTCCTACTTCTATAAAGAGTTACAGGTAAGGGGAAAAAAAGAGTTACAGCCTTGGAAACCCACAGGGGCAGTTCTAACCTTTCCTGAAGGGCCATTGTTAGTTGGTATTGACTCAATGGCAGTGAGTTTTGGTTCTCAGCCAGAGTTCATCTGAAGCAAAGAACACAGAAAATTATCTAAATGACTTTTTTTTTTTAATTCCTCCCATGGATGGCTAATGCCATCTTGAATGCAGAAAAAAGAAACTAAATCATTTCACAATAAATCCCTCTAGGGCATCAGGGCTTAATTCTCTCATGAGACCTCAATGAGAAAAGTTGGAAAGATGGGGGAAGGTATTTACACTTTCAAATGGGAGACCAAAATAAATTAAACTGTAAAGAACAATACAATATTGGGAAGAACTAACTCAGAGGGAAAAAAATACATATCCTATCCTAAAAACTCAGTATAGGAAATTAACGCTTAATGCTTATGAATATTCTAAAAATTCCTAACATCAAGTCAGTTCAGACTCAATAGTGACCCTATAGGACAGAGGACAACTGCCCCTCTGAGCTTCCTAGACTTTCAATCTTAACTAGACTGCCTCATCTTTCTCCAACAGAGTGGCTGGTGGGCTCAAACCACTGACCTTGTGGTTAGCAGTTCAATCATATCCCACCACACCAAGCGTTGGGCTAACTGCAAGGTCTGCAGTTTGACACCACCAGCCCCACAGTAAGAAGTTATTACAACAACAAAAAGTGACTACAGTCTTGGAAACAGCATGGGAACAGTTACTAGGAGTTGAACTGACTCGATGACAGTGAGTCTGGTTTGCTTTTGGTACTCCAAAACTCCAGTTTTTAACTTGAAGGTTGAAAGGACAATTTTGTTGAGGCTGAAAGTCAAATCAAAGAATGATTTACTCTGGGAGGTTGAGGAAATAAGAATTTCACCCTAGTTTTGAAACTACGTTCTTAAGCAAACTCTTCCCCTACATTCAGATTTCCCCAAAGTCCATTACACAGGCTCCGCATGATAAAGAGTTATTGTCTAATATAACACACCATGAGTCATAATCAACGACGACAGCGTTTTTAAACCAAAGTTCAAGGGTACCTAACCAACTCAGCAGGGACATGATGAATGCAGCACCTTGGGCTATTTCATGGAACAGGGCTTCCCTGAGGCAGTGGTAACAGGAAACTGAGGTGAGGAGAATTCACCAGAATTCCCTCAATTCGGCATGATGCAGAAGACCAGACACCTTGTGCTAGAAAGCCTCCCCAAGTTACCAACTTCTTCACTCCTTTTTACCTCCAAGGAGGCTTCCTGGTAAGTGTTGTGAGCTGGGCTCACAGCAATAGAAGAGAACGATGCTCAGTCCTGTCCCAGCCTCACCTTTGTGATGTTTGAGCCCACTAGTGCAGCCACTGTGTCAACCCACCACCAGGAGGGTCGTCCCTTTTCACCAACCCTCCACTCTACCAAAAGTGGCATGTCTCCTACAGAAACAGGAGAATCCAAAACTGTCTAAAGGCTTCCAAAGAAACCACTTCGCAAGCATCTCTCTTACTCCATTCACCTGTTAAGAATGCTGGCTAACTACCTGGACACGGAAAAATACTAAAAACGACCTGTAATTTAAGTTTCCGACCTACACCTGACCAATCTATTTGAGGAGAAGAAATGATCTCTCTGCCATTTTGAAAGAGAACTGGAACCTGTCACCCGCTTTACCTGCTGAGGGTCCAAAGGTGTACTTTGATTAGGTCAGAGAAAAGACACACAAAAAAATCTTCTCTGCAAAGAGGTCCAGAACTCAACACAAAGAAGGAATGGATTCATTAACAAGCTGTAGGAATCCTAAGGACCAGGACCCTTTAGCCACCCGAATGTCCACACTTCCGTAAGAGGGAAGCCTATCAGATCCTATCAAGGAGCTCCTAAAATCTAAATCGGGAGGGAAAAGGAGAAAAGAATAATGAGTCTGGAAAATAGTATTGCACAATCTACGCCAACTGGACTAAAGTATTCCAGAACTTTGGTAAAACAGTGATTCTTTCTCACGGCAAACATACATACGAGGAATTAACAGGAAACCGATATAAGGAGAAAAGGCTTTCGAGGAAATGTGATGGGATGAACGAGTTAAATTCTGACAGCCATCAGAGACAGAAACACCTGGCACCTGGTCTCACATTTTGGAACAAGTTTAGAGATTTGTGCAAACTCAAATTAGGAGGAGATGCTAAGAATGAGGAGGAAGCTGAAGAACGCGAGTCCAGTATGCCCTTAATTCCATGTATCCTAAGGTCTCCATGTACTCCCCATAACTTTCCACTAACTCCGCGCCTTCTTGCCGGCACAGCTTCCTACTCTTAATTCGAGGCTTCAGTTTCTGCAGTAGGCCACCCACTTCTTCCAGAAGAGGTCGAACCTTCGCTCCCCGAGAATTACCCGCAAGTCTCCCTTTTCCTCCCTCTCAGTCAGGCCGAACCCTGACTCCCGGCCCCTACGGACCCCGCAGCGCCTCCGCTGCCCCTCCAGCTCCTACCAAAATCAGCGCCTCCATCTTGACCCGCAGCTGGTGCCGACGTGGAGCCGCAAAAGCAACGGCGCCGCTGATTGGACGTACGTCCACAAGAAATCCCGCCCAAAGCATGGGTCATTGGGCCACCAAGTGCCAGCCATTACCCTACTGGCCAATCAGTGTATTAGCTTGCTTAGCGTAAGCAAGGTGTCCAATCAGAAGGCGTAGGTATTTGATTGTCAGTTTGAACACGCAATAAGTTGCCCAGATTGCTTGACTCAATGGGGCGGGAGGGTCAGTGGGGCGGGGCTGTTTCCATGGGGAACCGAGGAAGCGATTACTACGGTTCTATTGGTAGAGCAGAGAGCACGTGAGGCTGCGTTAACCATTTTAATCCACACACCCTCTAGGGGGCGCTATGCTCCCCTCAACCCTTTAACTGGCCGTTTCAGACAAATCCTACCCTAATCCCTGTGGTATCCGCCCTGCTCCTGTGGCTGCGACCACCACCACCACTCGCTCCTTTCGTCTTGCTCCCCAAGGAGCCCTCATCAGATCACGTTAGCATTCTCAAAGAAAGGCTGCGCACTCGGGGAGGGTCCTGTGGGGAGACACAGAAAGCTAACGAGATGTTAACTAGACACAGAATGTTAGCCAGATGAACCTCAGGGAGAGGGATTGATAACCACATTCACAATCTCCCAAGATGAGCCCAACTCTGCTGGGTCCAAAGGAAAGACAAGAAGCTAGTGAGTTTTTGTTTTTGTTTTTAATCGTTTTATTAGGGGCTCATATAACTCTTACACAATCCATACATACAACAATTATGTAAAGCACATTTGTACATTCATTGCCCTCATCATTCTCAAAACATTTGCTCTCC